ATTTTTTAGAATTTTAAATATTTTTTGCATAATTAATTAATTTACATAATTAAATATTTTGTTGTGTTCTAATTTAATTTTCATTTTATTAACTAAATATTTGTTTATTTAGGACATATTAATATTCCAAATTATTTTATAAAGAAAAAAATAGTTTTTTAATAATTATAATAGATTTAATTCAAAAATTTGATAAATAAAATTTATAAATTAAAGTATGAGAAAGAATATACTATAATTTTTTTTTTTTGTGTTGGAAAATAAAATTATTACTGCATTTTGGAGTTAAAAATGAGTTTTTCTGTTGGAGATACCCTTAGCTTACTCATTCTATGTTGTCTTAAAAGAAGTTAAAAATTAGACTTTGATTGTTATGATGATGATATCTTGAATTAATGGCAGGTGGTGGAAGAATCCCCGAACCCCAACTATTTTCATCCATTCTATGTGTTCTCCATGTACTTGAACGCAGTGGGAGACTTAACGAAAGCTTTCTTGTTGGCCTATCTTCAAAACGATTTTGATGAGGGCTTTGTCTCCCTTATGTATCGTGCTTCGGGGCTCTTCATACCTGGCCTGGCGTCTCACAGTCCAAGAGATTATGTCAATGGAGGGACAATGGCGAAAATAATAGCTCAGAAGATCAGCAACAAATAGGCATGAAGGTGGCTTATGTTTGTACTGCAATGAGTTAATGATGTGGTTAAATAAACTTATCTAGTGTTCTTGTTTCCGTTTTTGTTTGCAATGTAATGAAGCTTAGCTAGTATGGAGGTTCAAGGTGAACGAATTCCAGCAGTTCTTAGTCGTTTGAACTTTGAACTATTCAAAGTTCTATTCAAGGTCTTTTGAATCAACACATCTAGGTCACCTTCTTGAACTTCTAGTAGTATGGCGAGTACCAAGTACAATAATATAACATTGAGGGTGTCACTACGTATAGATTGGGGCTACTTGCCCGATCCACAGGTTCAACTTTTGGAGAAGTTGTTACGTGTGTTCGAAGGCGAATGAGGATGTGCCACGACACCCAGTACATAGCGATATATAACAAAAGGGTGATGTGGCACGTCCTGATTTGCCTCTGAACGATGTCCGATGACAGCACGTAATAATTTCTCCAACTTTTGATTAGCAACAAGCTCTATTGTCGTTCACTTTTATTATTTATGCAATCTATTTAATTTTTTTTTTAAAGGCAAGTTGATTGGCCCTTCCAACTAGTTCATAAACCAAAGCAATTTACAAGTCTAACATAATTTAATTGAGCTCAACTTGTGAAGAGAAAAAGACAATTGGAGATTCACAGTAAAGCTAAACTATTCTAGCTGACTAAAATGCTCTGCATTAGTATCGGGCTCAAAACTGTTGATAAACTCAATGCAGCAAGAAAAGGGAAAAGACAGAACGGAGCAGGTAGAAGACAGAATGAAATATTTCTATTAACTGTAATTCTTAATACATGAGCGAAATATATAGAATAGCTTTTGTGAAGCCGTTAGCAAGAAAGTACAATTTAAAGAAAGTACAAAGTTGATGTTAAATCTGAACCGTCCACGTGTGGGATTCTAACACCCCCCTTCAAACTGATGTCTACCATGTAGAAATGAGTTTGCTGGAGAGATTGTGAAAGCGTGAGGACGTGAGCGGTTTGGTAAACAGATCGGCTATTTGATCATTAGTACAGATGTGGTGAACGGTAAGCTGCTTTTTGATGATACAATCGCGTATAAAGTGACAATCAACATCTATATGTTTCGTTCTAGCGTGGAAAATAGGGTTGTTAGCTAGAGCGATTGCTGATGTATTATCACAGTATATAATCGTCGGCGACTGTTGTGATATGTTAAAGTCTTCCAATAGTCGACGTAGCCAAATTATTTCTGAAGCTTCTGCTGCGAGAGCCCGGTATTCAGCTTCTGTTGATGACCGAGCGATAGTATTTTGCTTCTTGACTTGCCAGGAGATGATCGAGTCACCTAGAAAGTTGCAGAAGCCGGACGTGGACTTACGATCTAAGGTGTCGCTTGCCCAATCCGCGTCAGCGTAGCCTCGGAGGGTGAGATTTGTTCGGTTGAGGTTGATGCCGGTGTTGGAAGTGCCATGAATGTATCTGAGGAGGCGCTTAAGCGATTCGTGGTGTGCGTTGAGCGGTCTTTGCATATGCTGAGATAACTGCTGGACGGCGAACTGGATGTCCGGCCGAGTGAGTGTGAGGTATTGTAGAGAGCCTATGAGCTGTCTGTACAGATTTGGATTGCTGAATTCAATGCTGGAGTTGTCCCGAACGGTGTGCTTGCAGACGGTTGGTGTGGATACTGGTTTGGAGTTAGCCATTCCAGCCCGCTCGATGATGCGACGAGCGTATGGTTGCTGATGTAGAAGCAGACCGGTCTTAGTGTGAATTGTTTGAATGCCGAGGAATTGCGAGAGATTGCCCAGGTGACGCATCTGGAAGGTAGACTGAAGATTAGAAAGTAATCGAGAAATTTCGTTCGGAGAATTACCTGTGAGAAGAATGTCGTCCACATAAACGAGGATGTAGAGTTGTGTGTTGCCGGCTTTGAATGTGAATAAGGAATGATCAGAGTTACTGATTTTGAAGCCGTACTGAAGGAGATGATTGGATAGCGTGGAGTACCATTCGCGAGGTGACTGCTTTAATCTGTAGAGTGCTTTCTTTAATTTGCACACATGGTTGGGATAAAGAGTATCTTTGAATCCTTGAGGTTGGTGCATATACACTGTTTCAGAGAGATTACCGTGAAGAAAGGCATTCGAGACATCTAACTGATGAATGTTCCAATTGTGATGAAGTGCAATGAGGATTAGGACCCGGATAGTCGGCATCTTGGCGACGGGGCTAAACGTCTCTGTATAGTCTATGCCATGTTCCTGATCATAGCCTTTGGCGACGAGACGTGCCTTGTAGCGAGCGATAGTGCCATCCGAGTTGTATTTAGTACGAAACGTCCACTTGCAACCCAGAATATTTTGAGAAGGATCGGGTTGTACTATTTCCCATGTTCCCTGTTCCTGCAAAGCTTGAAATTCTTGCGACATAGCTTGTCGCCAGTGTTCATTTTTAACTGCCTGCGTGTAGGTGGTTGGTTCGTCTGCATTAATAGTGTGAAACATGTCGAATATCTGTTTCGGTGTGGATATCCCGCTTTTAAGTCTTGTAGTCATGTGATGCGTTGGTTTTGGAGGTGCGGGAGCTATGGGCTGCTGTGAAGTAATCAGATTGTTGGGAGCCGGTGTTATTTGAATGCCAGGGAGCGAGCCAAGATCAGTAGGTGAAGGAGTTTGAGTGGGTTGCTGTGGTGTGGCAGAGGGCTGATGTTCATTGTTGGACTTATATTGGTGTGTGTCGAGCGGACAGGGAATTTGAGACGCGGGAACCAAAAGGAGAGGTGGCGTGGGGGAAACGGTGTTATAATTAGTGTGCTGGGGCGTGGGTTGATGCGAAAAGGGAAAGATATTCTCGTTAAAGACGACGTGGCAAGAAGTGTACACTTTATAGGTTACCGGATCAAGGCAACGGTAGCCTTTTTGATTGGGAGGATAGCCAATGAAGATGCAAGGTGTAGATAGCTGGGATAATTTGGTGGCCGAGTAAGGTTTGAGCCAAGGGTAACACAGACATCCGAAAACCCGAAGGTTGTGGTAGTTTGGTGGTGTGTTATAGAGGAGTTCGTAGGGAGATTTATGTTGAGTGTTGGGTGAGGGTAGCCGGTTAATAAGGTAGGCGGCTGTGAGGAGAGTATCGACCCAAAGTGTGTGGGGAACGGAGGCTTCGAGTAGTAAGGTACGGGTGGTTTCGGTGAGGTGACGGTGTTTACGCTCCGCTACTCCGTTTTGAGACGGTGTATACGGACAAGAAGATTGATGAATTATCCCGGTTTGCTTGCAAAAATTTTGAAATTTGTTATTTATAAATTCTCCCCCGTTGTCGGTGCGGAGAATGTGAATTTTATGTTGAAATTGCCTTTCAGTAAGCTTTTGAAATTCAAGAAAGTTATCGAAAACTTCAGATTTGCAAGTAAGTGGATACACCCATGTATATTTTGTGAAATCATCAATAAAAGAGACGTAATACCTATATCCTTTTGTAGAGGGCGTTTGAAAGGGGCCCCATACATCGGCATGAACAAGAAAGAACGGTACAGTAGTAATAGAATGTGAGGTGTGTGTAGGTAGCTGATGGCTTTTGGCCATTTTGCAAGTGTTACAGAACTGATGCTTTATGTCAGTTTTGATGTCCTGGTTTGCACGAGCGATTTTGGCTAGTGTGTAGTTGGACGGGTGACCCAATCTGCGGTGCCAAAGAGCCGGTACATGCTGAATAGAGATGAGAGCCAGCTGTTGATTTTGAATTTGCGAAGGACCGGTGTGTTGGAGCGGATATAATCCGTTAATACACGGACCCGTGAGAAGAAGGCGGTGGGTCTTCCGATCCTTAATGGCATAACCAGAAGAGAAAAAAGTGATATCGCAATTGTTATCCGCAGTTAATTTATGAACAGAAAGTAAATTAAATGCAAGATTTGGAACAATATTTAATTTGGAGAGTGTTAAGCTACCTGCGGGCGTAGGGAGGATACCCTTGCCCGTGGTATGAATTGGGATTTGATTCCCGTTACCAAGTGTAACTTGAGTGTTGCCGTGATATGGTTGCGGTTGTTGTATGTGCGTTGGATCGGAGGTTAGATGAGACGAGGCGCCGCTATCCAAGAACCACTGAGAGGTAGAAGCCGGTGTTGGAGATGTGAACAAAGCGGAAGGTGGATCACTGTTGTATTGATCGTCGTGGCGGTGCCAGCACTTGATCGCGGAGTGACCAAATTTGCCGCAGATTTGGCATGTGATCGACGGTCGGTTGGATTTACCGTTCCGGGTATGCGGCTGGGAGGATCGGTTGTCGGAATTGCTGCGACTGTTATTGTTGCGTCCACGGCCACGGCCGCGAGTGGCGGTGAGAGCCATGGAATGACCGGAGATTTGTAAGGACTGAAGATCTTTAGCGGTTTCGTGAGCGAGATTGAGCTCTTCGCTGCAGAGCAGAGTGTAAAGTTCATCGAGGGTGACCGGTCGTAAATTTGTATGGATTGCCGTCTTGAACGCTTGATAGGTGTTAGGCAGGCCGTTCAACGTGTAGTGAATGACGTCTTCAGCTGCCAGTTGAGATCCGGCGGCGGAGAGAGCGTCGACCTTGGATTTTACCTCAAGGAGATATTGGCTCATGGTTTTATCCTTCATAGAAAGAAAGTGTAGTTCGTTTCGTAATTGGCTGATTCTGGACCGGGTGGATGATTGAAGACGATGATCAAGAATTGACCAGATCTCGTGGCAATGTTCCGCCGTGAGGACATATGGGAGGATCGTGTTTGTGATGACAGAGTAAAGCGCGGCGGCGAGGTTTTGATCGATCAAGGTCCAGGTATTGAATGAAGATTGACCGTTACCTGTAGACGATTCTTGGGATGGGCATTTGGCGGTACCAGTCAAGAAGCCTTCGTAGCCGTTTGCACGAAAGAGCTTTAGAACTTGGGATCGCCAGAGAGCGTGATTATCGGCGGTGAGTGGTTGAGCAATGACATGTTTGACATTGCTCATTAGAAATTTGAGAGAAGAGGGGATTTGGGAAGAGAAGAACTCATCTGTGGAGTTCGCCGGAGCGGGGGATGTTTGCGTTGTAGAGTCTGTCATGTGAAGCCGTTAGCAAGAAAGTACAATTTAAAGAGAGTACAAAGTTGATGTTAAATCTGAACCGTCCACGTGTGGGATTCTAACAAAAACAACATATATAAATGATTAAAGAAGTGTTCCACACGATCCACGGCCTAAGTAATGTTGGATAATTTTTTTTTTATTTTTTAT